ATTGATTCGTTGCTAGAGGAGGCTAAACTCTATTGGTCTCAGGGTAAAGCTGATATTGCAATGCTACTAATGAAGGATATTCTTGAAAAGGTTTATATTTTTAAACTTGCTCTTAAATTTGACAAAATACCCTGTACTATAGTACAGGGCATTTTGTAAAAAAACAACTAAGAGAGAATGTTGTGTAGAATTTTGAGCTGATTCTGATTAAAATGCAATTTAAATTTTTTAGCTCGAGTGTCATCAAGAAGGCGTGGCTTATCCTACCGTACTTACCTTATATGGTAACTGGTTGTCTGAGACCCTCTCCGAGAGACCTCTAGTGATATTGGAAGAATACCTGGAGAAGGTATTTATTATTCATAGCATTGCATTAACATTAATTAATTAATTAATTAATTACGAGTAATTAAAATTGTTTACGGGTCAGAATGATATTGGCAATTATCATCATTCTCATAATTGCCTATAATTGGCATGTAGCCAGTGCTCTATGTTGACATGGTGCGATTAAAGTTTATCCAAACAGAATAGGCTGCCAAAACAACATTTCCTTCCATTTATTATAATAATTATAATAATTGATAATTCTTTTTGTTGTAATGGAGTGAGTTGTAATTGAGTTCTTGCTATTACTATTGTTATTACTAGCTGGTGAATGTAAACGTTGAGGGGGCAAGCATGAACTATAGATTGACTTGATAAAATTGATAGATTGATAAAAAAAATTAATCTAGCCCTAATAATGTAATCAGGACAAAGAAAATTGTTGTTATTATTATTATTATTAACTATTTTTTTATTTTCAGGCTGTTAGTCTGTTAGAGTCTCAACCAGTCAATAAGGATCAGTTGTTGCATGCTTACTTGAGTCTAGCGAGATACAGCGACAACCAGTTTAGGAGGATATCCGACCACATGAACAGCCCCCTCTATCAGGCAAAACAAAAACTACTGGACAGAGCCAAAGTTAGAATAATGAGCAATTATTTGGTGCATGTACATGTACATGTACATATACATGTACATGTACATGTACATGTACATGTACGTATGTACGAATGAATTGATGTGCATGATTTATGACAATGTTACTGTCTTTCTATAGACTGATCTACAGAGTATGAGTAAAGCTAAACCTGATGGACGATCCACTGAATTCCCAAAGTAACATCATTTCTCTTACACGTAGTAGGATTAAGTTTAATAGAGCTTTTATAAAATTGATATGAATGTTTGGTGTAGCTTTTGAATTTGATGATAATGTATAAATAAGTACAGTTATGAATGCGATTGTTAAAATTATTTTTTGTAGGCATTACCGTCAGTTAAGTAAGCTCAGTGAAGAGGATGAACTGATAATTAGACAACACGAGCAAGATCAAAGACAGTTTCTTAATAAATCAATCATTAATTACTCGCTATGCCTTAGCACTGGAGTAAGTGACACCACGATCATTATGTAACGACAGTAATAATCACTATTTTTCACCTCTTCCTCTCTCTTGTCTTTCTATTACTTCTTCCTTCCTCTCTCTTCCCCTCTCTCTCTCTCTTTCTTTAAGGAGCAATACAATTTAAGAATATTTAGATTAATGTCGTTATGGTTTACCAGTAGCACTGATCCTCTTATTAATGAATTGATAAAGGTTGTTCCCCTGTCCTCTCTCTCCCTCTCCCTTTCTTTCTCATCCTCAGTTCTCTTTCACTTTCCTTGTAACCAAATTTACATTTTCTCTTGTATTTTCTCTAATTCTCATTTCCTCGTTGCCTCTTTGATGATATTGTTATCATCATTGTATAGTCTGTCTCTGTGGTTGACCTCATCTGTAGCTCATAACTGTGTACATACACTTTTATACCATCTCTCTATGTGTCTGTATTGACATCACTACTATTGGATCAACTCTGATGTGTGACTTTGTGTGTATCTGTGTGTGTATACAGGGCTTTTGTCTATGCCCTTGGTTAATGTGTTTGTGCTCTCATTCCTTTGTTATCCTGATTTATTTTCCTTTCATTAATAGGATTATGTGTCTTCTCTTCCTAGTTACAAGTTATTGCCAGTCATATACCAGCTGGCTGCCAGAATGAGCTCATTAAACTCCGATCCTTTCCAGCATATACTACAAGAGGTGCCTTTCTCTTCCCCTCCTCTCTCTCTCTCATTTTTTTCTGCTATACATGTATATGTACATACATTAGCATATGTGAATGTGTGTGTCTGTGGGTTTTTTTTAACCTAAATTGTACACTTCCTTCTCACACACTTATTGTTATTCTGTTATTACTACAATGTCCTGTACCACACGGTCTCCATTAATATCCTCTTTCCTTGTCTTCACACTCTTCTTTTTCCTTCTCTCCTCTCCTCTCTGCAGATGTTGTATCGTTTAGGTAAAGACCATCCTTATCATAGTCTATATGTCATACTAGCATTATCCAATGCTGGGATCGATAATGAGTTCCCTCAGAAAGGCTACGTGACTGGTCAAAGACGCAGTAATGGTGGGGCTATGTCCAATGGGACTAAACTGAGGAGGTCAGGAGGTGGAGCTGGTGGTAGAGGAGGAGGAGTAGGGCAGTGTGTTGTGGATGATGTAAGAATGATGATAGTTGTTAGTATAATCTTAGTGTGACAGGAAGAGGTTGCTTTGTGGGGAGTCTTCATGTATCATATGTACCGCATATTCTCACCCACTTATTTCCTTGTAATTATTATGGTATATCAGTACTTGTAGGGGCTAACATCAACTAGTAATACGTAATACATCTATTGTATAATAATGTGAATAAGTCCCCTTATATAAGGATTCTTAATTGATGTGTGTTTGTGTGGGAGTGAATACTGAAACTAGACAGTTCATATGTCATACCAGTACATATTGACTGTATTCTACTTTATTCTCTATGTATAATAATTTGCTTGTTGTTTTGTGGAAAACAAATTGAAAATGCTTATTTTTACTTTCTAAATAATAGTAATAATAATAATAATAATAATAATAATAATAATTATTATTATTATTATTATTATGACAGGGTCTCTTTCATTTCCTCTAGGAGAAAGTGAAAGCTGCCCAGGACCTGCTCAGTCGGTTGAGAAGTGTCAATGGTGAACTACTGAGGGACATATCCAGTCTCTGTGAGGCATATGTTGATATGGCCTATCATGATGTCACTGCTCACAAAACCGAGAAAAGTAATTGAGACATAATTAATACATTATATTACATATTAATATAGATACTCTCTTTAGGTATCATTAATATTAATATTATATTAATTTTATATTGATTTTATATTAATTTATTTTGATGTGCATATCAAATATTATATTAATTTTAATTTATTTTGATGTGCATATCAAATTCAACCACAATGTCTGTAGTCTAATGCCACACAATTCCCCTTTCCTTTAGTCTTTGAGGAAGAGCATTGATATGGGTAGCCTATTGGAAGTCAGTACTGATTTACTCTATAGGCAGGCCCATGTAGTATTGACTGTATGATAGATACATTGATCATAGTAGTAGTGTATAGATATAACAGGATGGATAGTAACCTCCACACACTCCATATGCTGGTAGACAGATATAGCATATAATAGTACATGTACTGTACATATGATTGATATAATGTTATGATTGATATAATGCTAGGAATGATAAGAATGCTCTTGTTTCGATAGATATAGCATCACTATAGACATCGAATGATAATGTACTTATAATACAGTGCGTTCTAATGCCTATACTTGCTTAAGTCAATCAAATGGATGATGGATCACAACGTCTATTATTTACTATAGCCAAGTATTGTGGAATGTGACTAATGCAATCTTGTTAGCTGAATAATAATGCCTAAAATAGATAGGCTCTATTGCTATTAAGTGTGCTTAATTGTGCTAGCCTGCTGTGTCGTCGTCAACAAACATTGCCAATAGTATTCCCCTGGACTCTCTTGATTATCATAACCCACTTTAAGGTCCAGCTAATTGTTATTGTAAACTTTGTATACACTCGTTATTTTATTGCTGTTTTCTTATTATTTAGAGCCTATCAGGATCCCACCCAATTGTCCTCTCCTTAAGCTAAAGAAGAACAAGGTTCCTATACCCACCCTTGATCATCCGGTAAGAAAGTTTGAGTCGATTCCGACTTCAATTTTTCAAATTATGGCGATTTTTTTTAAATATGCCATTTTCTGAAAAATACCCAAGGCTATGGTTTTTTCCAAAAATTGGCTCCGAAATCACCCCCAATTTTTATTACATTTTCTGATACATATTGATGTCCTTATGCTATGTAAAAAGTTTGAGCTGATTTTAACCTAAATTTTTCAAGTTACGGCCATTTTTTAGAAAGTGCCAAATTCTGAAAAATGCCCTGTACTATAGCCCATGGTTTTTTCTGAAAATTGGCTCCGAAATCACCCCCAATTTTTATTACATTTTTTGATACATATTGATGTCCTTATGCTATGTAAAAAGTTTGAGCTGATTCTGACTAAAATTTTTCAAGTTACGGCCATTTTAAAAACTAGGAAAAGCATGTACATGTACATGTACATGTATATGAATGAGCCTTATACTACTATTATGATTACTAGATTGATCCAAGTGGAAGATACAAAGACTCTATGGTGACCATAACAAGTTTTGATGCTCATTTCTCGTTATGTGGGGGCGTAAATCTACCTAAAGTTCTCTCGGCACTTTGTAGCGATGGAAAGAGGAGGAGACAACTCATCAAAGGGAGGGACGATCTAAGACAAGACGCTGTCATGCAACAGGTCTTTGGCCTCGTTAATCAGCTACTGTGCAAGAAGCCCTCAACGGCCAATAGGAAACTCCTTATTAGGACTTATAAGGTATTGGGATAAGGAAAAGGAGAGGAAGTGGTTTAGTGGTGAAAAGAAGAATAGAGTGATTTTATAGAGAAAGACGGTTAAAATACAATATTTATTTAATGCCTTGTGTGTGTGTGTGTGTGTGTGTGTGAGAAGGGGTTGGATTCTCCTTATTTGGAGTGGGAAGGTTGGTTAAAAGTTAAGGGGTTGTAGAGGGGGAGAGATGTAGAGGATTGAGTCCTTTTTGTGAGAGGCAAGATGAAAGGATAACAGATTTGTCATTTTATAATCAATGTGTTATAAACAAAGCCTTATTTTGGCATCCCTGTGTGTGTCAGAATAGTGGATTTGGGCATGCTTTATTTTATTTTTAAAAATACAAAATTTTCATCCAAATTTGCTGATAAGTATACCGGTCACCACCATCGCAGACTGACACATACCGGTACACCAGTCACCATTACATTAAGTTTCATTGTAATGTCTTCAATACATAACACACTATAGTCTAGAGCCCATTGTTGTTAATATTGTATTGTTAATTCTGAAACTGTTTATACCTATAGCATCATTGTAATTTGGATTCATTTTCATTATTTATAATTCATTATCACTAAAACTATTGTGACTTATTGTTTTTTATCACTGTCACCCTTTCACTTTTAATATTGTGGCATGAACAAGCAATTGCATAAGATACTTATTCAGTTAATAATATTATGATATACTCATTATACTATCATTATTATTATTATTATTAGGTAGTACCATTGTCACAGTGTTCTGGTATTGTCCAGTGGTGTGAGGGCACTGTTCCTATTGGTATGTATTTGGTCGGCCCACCAGAGAGTCCCTTGGAAGGAGCTCACGTCAGATACAGACCAAAGGATTGGAAAAACAACGAATGTAGAGCAAAATTTGCCGTAAGTTTGTATCAAAAATATACGGGATTTAAAACCTGTTGCTTTATTGCATTTTTAGCTTATTTTTTCCTCCCTCCCTCCCCCTCTCTCTTATGCATGTATTAACTCGTGTATATATAGGTACACCTCATTGCTTGCATAATTATTTCTGCCTAAACATTCTCATCATTTTTCTCTAGTACATACCTGAAATCATGTTCCAAAGTATAATGGGAGCATCATGGCTGCAATGCATGATATCACTGGAATTATATCATACATACAGTCCATAAATTCATTACAAAAACTCCAGCTGTTCTCATTAGCTATTACATTAGTCTCATGTTACAGTTTTCTTTTACTTCATTTGTTTTATTCTTGATTTACCACCTGCCATATATGATAACCTAATTCACTTTCTAATAGGCCTAGATTCTCAAGAATAGTTGTTATTAATTTTCATGAAATAATAAATTTGAAATTAATACTTGGTTAGAGTTTCGAGGGTATGGCTTTCGTAAAAAAAATCAATGAGAAAGGCCAAACTTTTACGACCTTTATACTCCTTAATACTTTCACTATCAGTTTTAAATAACTATATACAATGCTTAAACACTACTGGCTTTGTTTAATGCTGCATACCTAATAGTGTGTACAAACTAACTAACACTATTATTAGTATGATAAATGGTGACATTATTATGTGCACAACAGTGTATTACAGTATGGTCGCATTATTTAATCATCACAGCTGCTTTATCTATTGCATTTATTATAATTTAATGATATTTTATTGAATGTTTCCAAACATCATTTCTTGTTTGTCGTTGCAAGTGTACTGCCTGGAGCTAGTTACAAAGAAACACTGACCATTTCACCACAGACCATGCAGGGATATTTGTGGCTTTTCATTAAAATGGCTTCATATTTTTATTACATTTTACATACATGTAGAAAGTTTGAGCTAATTTTTAAGCACGTATTAATGCTATTAGTATTCAAGGAATCATTAGCCTATTGCTACTTGATGGAAACCTAAGTAGCCAGTCACAGTGTACATGTATTTATAACTGCCATTGGCCTATACTGTAGTAACTGAGAGACATATTGTCTGTTAGTGCCTCCTATCACAATGTTATTATTAGCACCATTGATAATGTGATATTTGTAATGCTAGTAATAACAAATAGTCTGCTTTGAGTATGTCTCTGTTATGTCCTGTGGCTATGAACATAGGCAGATAGTTCCTAACCACAATACACTTCAGTCTATGACTGTGGTATATTGCTGTATTATACTATCATAATTGTATTTCAAATGTTAATATTCATGCCATCCCATAAAGGTTGTGGAGTTGACATTCACTGCTGACCAGTAGTAATTTGAAATGTTCCTATCAATCCTTCCATTCAGACAATGCACAGTGGGTCTTTATAGTTTATCTTATATTTTATAAAATACAGGAAGGGATGATGTAATGAGTAGTGGCAACATTTGATTTCCTCTCGAGCCTTTGATCATTCTCTTCAAGTTCAAAAGGTCAAAGCACTAATGATGCTTTTTGTTTACATAATATTGATACACAGTCAATAATAGCTCTCCACTAAATTGATTTTTATATTTAGCATCAGTCTCAGATCATGTGGCCCCGGCTGTGGTGATGTGTAAAGCTTGCACCAGCTGGGGAAGGAGACACTAATATTAATATTATTTTTTCAATTTGATTTCATATTTTTCTGTTTTTTGTTATTATAGCAATCTTCAAAAGGCGATAAGCTGACGGTTTATAATCAAATATGTAAGCATTTCAAGCCCGTGTTCCACCATTTCTTCATGGAGTCGTTCCCCGACCCTGCACTGTGGTATGAGAGGAGACTCACTTACACACGGTCCATTGCTACTTCATCTATTGGTAAGAGTGGGAATTGGAACAGTAGAGCAAATGGAGGAGTGTCATATATCAACACTTAATTAGAATAAATTAGTTATTGTATGTATTTGTTTTTAATAGTTGGTTATATAATGGGTCTTGGTGATAGACATGTACAGAATATACTCATCGACAAGCAGTCAGCTGAACTAATACACATTGACCTTGGTTGGTGATACAATAATATTTATACATCAGTCATTCATTTATCTCTCTCTTCCTCCTTTCTATTTTTATGCATCATCTACTCTATTCTAAATCATTACATCACAGTTAAATAATATTATTATCATATTACAATTAAGTATTATTTCTAATTAAGTATTATTCTAATATTATTTCATTTATGTAGGGGTTGCTTTTGAGCAGGGGCGTGCTCTCCCCACTCCTGAGGTAATTCCTTTTAGATTGACCCGTGACCTGGTGAGTGGTATGGGTATCACTGGTGTGGTGGGTGTGTTCCAGCGCTGCTGTGAGGAGACAATGGAAGTGATGAGGAGCTCTCACGAAGAACTGAGAACTATTGTCGAAGTGAGTTATAATAATTGTAGTATATCATGCCCAATATAAAGGGATTATGATCACAAAGCATGCTAAGTGAGCTAAACAGCCTGAGTGAGCTGACACTACAATACAGTACATGGCATTTGGAACAACTTTGAAAATTCATAAAAAACTCAATTTTGATTGGAATCAGTTTAAACTTGCTACACAAGACAAGAACATGTGTGTGTATTATAAACAATTATAAAAATGAAGAATTCTTTCCTAGTCATTTTTGCCGAAATTCCCTGTACTATAGGTAGAGGGTCTTTGGCCCAATTTTGAGCAACTTAGACAACCCACTGACAAGAAGCTGACACACGAACGCTATGCCATTAAAATTCTGTGGGAAACCCTGCCTCCAATTGTATGTGTTTAAATGGCATAATAAAGACATTTTATGGACATTTACAACCGTGTTGTACCACTAATAGTACAATAACTTGTTCCTAATATAGCATTGAGTGAGCGTATGATTAGTGTTATGTGTATCTCTGAATGGCTACATTTAGCCCATTCATTGTAGTGCTGCTATTATTGGATGAGCTGTAGCTCGTGTGTAATCTAATAGTCTATTAGGATTGGGGGCTACTAAATGGACATGAATAGTTGTAATGTATTATATTACAATGGCAGTTGATAATGGAGTGAGTGTGTGCATGGTATACAATGACACTTTCACAATGATTGATTGATAGATACACTCAAAAAAGTGCTGAGTATCTTTTTTTAACCTGATTCAAATTTTAGGGACCAAAATGTGAGATATAATTTATAATGCACTTACACGTACATGTACATTGTCATTAATAATATGATGTGAAAGTGGATATAGTTTTCCTTCATTTGTAATGTACATGTATGTATGCATGTACAATTATACACATCACATACAGTGAGTGTGTGTTTTTATTGATGTGTATCCACCTTTTGTTTGTTTGCTGTTTTGTTTTTTGGTGTAGCAGGTGTGATGTGAACTTTTTCGAATGTTTGTGGGAAAGAAGCCATAATGCTAGACAGTGTTTATTATTGGAATATCAATGCTCCAATTTGTCATGCTTAGCTACCTTGTAATACACTCACTCATGGGAGCATGTCTTCCTTCCTTCTATCTATTCATAGTAAATGATTTGAGCATCTACTACTAACAACATTGGAACTCTGATACAGCAGAAGTTGTATGACATATTGTTTTTGTACTTGACATAAAGGATGTAGTTTCAGTTACATGTGAAATGGCTAGGGAAAACTGTTAATTAGAAATTATAATTACCCTGAAGAGAATCTATGAGGAATACTTTATACAATGATATTCTAAAACAAATATCTTTTTATTATTCTTTTGTGTTACTTCTTATTGTTTGTATACGGTTCATTATTAATGTTAATAGTTATTTTTACTAAACAATGTTACTAGTGTCCTTATATAACCTTGTAGTGGGTTTACCGTATGAGAATTGTGTCTTTATTCCTCTTGTTTGTTGGTGTTCCAGAACAAATTTCAAAGCAACAAGGTGGTGGATGGGTGTGGCCCGGCCTGTCTGTTGATCATCCTGTTGACATAATAATACAGATTTTTGACATGAATGATGACATGAATAGTGGTGTGAGTTCACATGATATTGAACAACAAGAAAATGGATTTTATACAGAGCATATAACTTCATTCACTCCTTACTATCATTTGTTGTCTTAATTACATATTTCCCTTTAAAAATGAAGAGGAATTACTATTATTGTAGTACTTAATATGTACAGTGTTATAAAATGACTATATTCAGTAAGTGCTGGGTAATTTTTGATTAATAGGTTTGTCTATATAAAGTTAAAAAAATGTTTGCAATTTTAATTTACTTATTTATCATTTTATCATAATAAGTGATGGGTGTGTGTCCCTGTTTATGTAAGGCTGGTGATCACTGGTTATGTGTCCGGAGGTTAATGAGTCTGACTATTTGTACAAATTAAGATAAAAATTCCATCATTCCTTATGAAGGCACAACCTTATCCCTTCCTTCCCTATCAATACAAGTCATACTACGTATTACTATTATTCCATTAAGGCCCCTACTTCAATTTCCTTTTAAATATTTATCTCTTTAAATCATGTCCAATCCTTTCTTTCTCCATTATACAGGTACTGCTACACGATCCACTCTACATATGGACAATATCTAATAAAAAGGCAAGACACATTCAGAGCTCCACTGCTGTCGAGTGGGCAGGAGGAGACACAAGCGGAGCCAATGATGTCTCTAGTAATAATAAAATGGCAGAGCGTGTCCTTATTAGGTAATGTTTGTGATAATAACAAGTTTTTGTTTCAATCTAGTACATATATGTCTTTAATGATGGCAATTCTTCTCTCTCTCTCTCTCTCTCTCTCTCTCTCTCTCTCTCTCTCTCTCTCTCTCTCTCTCTCTCTCTCTCTCTCTCTCTCTCTCTCTCTCTCTCTCTCTCTCTCTCTTTTCTCTTTTCTCTTTAGGCTACAGGAGAAGCTTGAAGGAGTGGAGAATGGTGTCCAGCTAAGCGTCGGTGGCCAAGTCACTCACTTAATTCAAGAGGCGAGGGATTCCGTGAACCTTTCTTCATTGTTTCATGGCTGGCAGCCATGGATCTGATAGAAAGTTTGTATCATTTTATATAATAATATTAAATATAGTTGCTGCATGAAATTATTTTGTGGCATAGATTATGTAAGAGATCTTTTTATGTGAAGTTGTTAATGGGCGATAGAGAAGGTGCTAACAAAGCTGTTAATGAGTGTTTGTGTGCGATGACATTTTCATAATGAATGGACCATTGTCTTCTTTGAAATTGTGGCTTACAGCTGCCGCATATCATTAGTCTATGTACTAATTACTCACCATCAGTTAGCAGTATGTACTTTCCTTAGCATTGCTTGTTATGCACATCAGTAATTTGCATTACAATTCCTTGAATATGTAGCCTGCAATAATGTATGTGTGTATATGTGTGTGGCAACATTATAGTGACGTATACATTGTGTATATTCATACACAGCTAGTGTATGTATTACTGATATGAATGTGTGAGAATCATGTAAGTATTCAGTCATGAGGTAATTTATTAGCTATTGAATTGGTGTCTTTGGTGATGCGCCTTATGTCACAATTATAAAATTTGAATGTGTTTTTGACACGCTGAAATGCTTTAGAGTCGTGATCAAGTATTATAGTTGAACTTAAATGTCTTTGAATTTTAAATGACTGTAATGTAGAGGGAATGTGCGTGGATTTCTTTTTGACTTTTAATTTTCATCAGGTCATGATTTTATTTTGTCAAACCTGTGTTGTTAAACATAATAATAATAATAATCTGGATTTACAATGAGAGAGAAAAATAATAATAATAATAATAATGAATATTGTGTGTAATGTGGTTGATTTGAGAGCAAGAAGGAGAGAGAGAGAGAGAGAGAGAGAGAGAGCGAGCGAGCAAGTAGATACAAAAAAATAACAAAAACACAGTGACTATGTAGTGAATAAGAGTTGTCGTTTACAATATAAAGATGTGATTGGCTTTTAATAATAATAATAATAATAATAATAATAATAATGGTGAAGAGAAGAGAGAGAGAGAGAGAGGAGCTGTGATTAAAAAACATTTAAACAAGATTAGCTAGGGCAGTTGCAAATGCTTGTATTGGAGTGAAAGGTGCCTGGAAATCAAGTATAAAACTGCCATTCTCTATTCTTCCAAATTGTAGAATCTGTAGATAAAAAGAGAGAGAGAGAGAGGAAATCATAATAAAGCTATTCATGTGAGATGCAGGCATAGATCACATACTATATACAGTGAAAGCATGCCATAATAATCTAATTGATAAGCTAGTAGTTTAGGCTAGTCAGTGTTACAGTTGAACAAATGAGGCCATTCAAGACACATTCACATATCCTTAGTCAGTAACTATGTAATGTCTACAGTGGGCACACATGTATGCTAGCTACTATCAATAGAAATTGGTATTATAGTAATAATTATTAAGCTTTGAAAGCATTGAGAGCCCATAGAAGACCAGACTGGGAACAGCACCAGTGTGACAACAAATTGCCTAATATGTCTATCTGACATCAAACAAATCATAACCACACTGGCAGGCAGCAACAACATACTCTAATTAAAGCACACCACTCTAATTAATGCACATGCAGCAAACCCACCTGCTCTGATCCCATTTCGAGTTGAAAGTTCTTGGCAGATTTGGTGGTCACGCGTCCACCAAAGTCCAACTGATAGATCATGTGCTGTTCGTTCCATGTTGGGGTCTTGCTGTGAATAATGACAGGGCTCTCACTAGTGGAGGCGGTGGTGGGCGATGATGAGCAAGTATTGTTAGCATTTGATACAGAAGTGACTGAAGACATGTTGTTCTTATTACCAGTGGACGATTCGTTAGCTCTAGGAGGACTAGCAGTGTCTCTCAGCTCCTCTAAAGAGCTAAGGCTATCAAGGGACAAATCGGCGTCCCTGAAAACCTCTCGGCGGCCGGACCCGCTCTCTTCGTGGGAGTCCTCGGTCTCGGAATCGATGCCGGAGTCTTCTTCGACGGCAGGCAAGTGGACTATGACTTTACGTGGCTGGATGTGCAGGAATGACGTCTTTATAATGATAGTCCCCTGATCGAGGGGGAGGAGTGGGTTGATGCTTTGAATGCGGAACTTTGATGCTATGATATGGGAGCTGACCTCGGCAAGATGTCTTGACGATATGACAGTGTCGCTATGAGAGGAGTTCCCGTCCGAAGTGCTCCTGCTGACGGAGCGAGGGGTTTCGCCTTCGTCCTCTCTACAGGCGAGCTGTATCCCACCAGACTCTGTATTGAGGGAGTTGTGTGTGTCAGGATGATTGTCAGCGTTGACACACCTCAGAGGAGAATGGGTCCCTCCGCTGTTCTCCCCTAGCTCTAGATTCGATTCGTGGGGAGGAGCTTCGGGTGGCGATCGAGACGAAGGAGGGAGGTTCTCGGAGGTGGAGAGAAAGGACGAGGAAGGTAGGGAGATCGTGAAACTTGGTCTTATTTTACTGTTTCGTCTTGTTGCTTCGAGTATTGGGATTAGAGTGCCTAAGTGCTCGACGTAGAGTGTGTATTGTGATGGGTGTCTACTGCTTCTTTGAGAGGAGGAGGAGGAGGAGGGAGGAGATGATGAAGATGACGGGATGAGTGTACAGTATATGCGATGAGAAGGAGGAGGTGGGCGAGATACATAATCAAGTAAATTATTGTCAACAGGAACATGACCCTAAAGAGAGAGAGAGAGAGGATAAAAGAGAGAGAGAGATCATAATTAAAGATGTTGAATGGACAATAGCAAAGCCACGAGACTATTGTTTAACATTATAGTCTAAACACTAACACCACAACAGAATAAGCATCAATAGCCAGTCACACACATAGCACATACCAAAATATGTACATGTGTACAAAATATGTACACACATGCAGTACACAGCCAGTGTTTAGTAATACCAGACATTCCATTGGATATGGAAGGAGACACCCAACTCTTAAACCACATTAGTCAATAAAACTTGCTCTCCCAATAGAAACTCTATTGGTATGAGGCCAAACCCACCATAGGCTTTGGACAGAAGAATACACAACCACACAAAGGATACTGAGGCCAGGAAGGCAGTTCAAAAAAGTTTCCCAACTCTAGTGGACTTGCTTGACTTTCATCATTTCCTGATAATATCTCTATACTATATACATGTATAATCAACAAATGCAAAGTTTGTTGACTAGAATGTACCAAAATATGCTCTCCAAATACAAACATTGCTTTTTAACTGCATGGTTATTTCATTCCTGACACTGATATTACAATTCTGACAGAGTGTGCAAATGTATCCTATCTGACCTAATCAACAAGTCTTTCTAATGACAATATTGTCACACTCATGTCACACACAAAAACACTAATTCATTTCATTCCAAGCAAGCGAGCTTTAAGTGATTCTATTTATGTGAACACTTACGAGCCAAATTACATTAAAGAGAACAGTTGATAGGCAATGCTATGCTAAACATGAGCACAGCCCTTTAAATAGACAACAAGAGAGAGGAAGAGAGAGAAGGGATAGAGAGAGAGGAGGAGGAGGAGGAGATGGAGACAAAGAGACAAATTATTCACCTTGATAATGGAAGAGAACATGCTAGCAATGCCAAATTTGAAGCGAGTGGGCAATACCAAGTCAAAGCTGGAATCTTTGCCACTTAAGCTTGAGGAGATGACAGATTTGGCAAGATCCTGTAAGGAGGGTATGTGGCGGGATATGTTGACCGTGTGAAGGACTGAAGTGGTCGCGACAAATAGTTTGGTGTTCTCGTGTGCCCAAGTTAAAGCTGTGACTGGATCCTATTGTCAACAAGACAAAACAAAAGAGAGAAAGAAAGAGAGAGTACATCAATAAGGGAAGAGTACAGTGAGTGGGTGATACTCTATGAGTAGGAGGAGGTGGGTACATACATGTAAGTGAATCATGTGTGCATATATGTGGTTGAGTGTGACATTGATAAGAGCCTTAAGGGGTTATCACCATCAATTAGGATTAATATTATAAGTACATATGAAGCAGCGATACACCTTCTTCCTTCCTTTATATGCTGGGCTACCACATAAAGTTAATCAGACAGCATTACCACAAACAAGTTTAGCCTCTTTCAACCTGACTGGCTGCAGCCACATCAAACATAAAATTATACACACAAGGGACTAATCAGCCAATACACTAGGCCTCTCTTCAAATAACATCATGCTCAATATACTATGAAGTATACACAACTCTCATGTACTGTCTATACTGAGAAAAAAACACACACAAGCTGTATACACACAAAAGCATACCTTATAGACACTAGTGTATACACAGACTTTTATCACAAACAAGGCAAAGGGCACCACCCTGCTCCATCTCTCACTTTTAACTCTATATATACTTTCACACAAACGGTGTGTGCCTACAGTTCAAACCTGTGTATACAACTAATGGTATTTCTAGTGAGGCTATCATAGCTATCCTAGTGTACCAGTGTAGGCTCAAGACATTATTTAAAAGGATATTAAATCAGACTATATGTAATGTCCTTAACTTATTTAATGTCACTTGTGATAAGTACATGGAAATACTTAACTGTCCAGCTATGCCAACAGACACACAGAGACAAGCATGCATGCGTCACTGTCTATGGAGAGTTAGTCCCTGCCTATCTACGGGGGTAAAGGATACTCACTATTCAACAGTTGACTGGTCACTGTAATGTAGCCATTTACTATACAAACCCAGTGACAGATGTCATCCTTCCTACGACATCAAACAGAGTCAAAGGTGTTTGCTTACCCACAGACACTTAATAGCAAGAAGAGTACACTCTGGCACCAAGTTCAACACACATCATCATCATAGTATCATATATAAAATATACACTAACACTTTTGAGAGTACAGTTTACTTTTATGTCACAACTCCTCATTGTTGATGGTTATTATACTTCAAGACAATGATATTTTCAGTGTTTTTACATCATGTTAACAACAGAGGGAGTTACTGACACACCCTGAGCTCATACCGGGGAACATACAGACCACAGTACAGTGTAAAGGGAAAGAGGAGAGGCCCTCCAAAGGGGCCTGTCTACATGTACAGTGTGGATCGACTCACCTTTGTGTTCAGAGGTAGAGTGAACAATAATTGTCCAGAGGGTTGGAAGAAGCGAACTGTGGACACTCCTTGGCTCTTCCTAAGGCCAGAGACAGCTAGAATGGATCCATCTTGACTCCAGAGCATCTTCCCATCCATGAGTCCTGTCCTGATGATGGTCGCTTGCTGATCGCCACACGAGTTCATGAGGACCACTTTGCCATTACGGAGATACAATGAGAGACGGACGTTCTGTTTCTCTTCGTTGTCTTCCAAGATACGCGAGGAGGACATCACTTTTGTCTTCTCTGTCTCTCCTCCTGGTATACGTACCCACTGTAGGCCTATTATACCAATCCCTGGCAGTACTTCAGTTGTAGACACAAGAGATCCATTACTAAATGCGTCCAGTTCTATCAGTTCTCCTATGCTACTACCGACAACAATACGAGTATCGTCTGGACTCCAGGTGGAGCTTAGAAGATGAGATGGTTGCATGTGATTGGAGGGTGTGGTCACAAACGACCCGATGTTGAGTTGCCTTGCCCAAATCCTTCGACCAAAGGCGGTGCCCACGAGAACATAACCATCAACGTATGTAATGAGAACTTTGGAGCCGTCATTACTCCATTGGAAGTCACTGATCTTGCTCCCTCGATTATTGACCAGCTCCATGACGGAGCGTCCATTGTGATTCCTCCAAACTATGACGGTCCCTGAGGAATCACACGTAGCAATTTTGTCTAGTAGTGGGTTCCACCTCACTATGGTAACCTGTAGAGAAAGAGGGGGAGTGGGTGACATGGCAATTAAACAGATGGTCTCTCTCTCTTCCTTTATACTAAATAACAAAAGGATGGAGTCAACAGCCTCTTATCTTAGGCAGATAAATGTTGTTGTGTACATGTAACTACTCAAGCCTCTACAGCCGCCTGTCACTGCTAACGGTTTATGCACTCATAAGGCAGCAGCTATCACGTTAGCTAGTCATTCAAAACAAAGGGTTCTCCTTCTTACAAACAAAATAATAAATAACAAGTACATGTATGTGTATATACATGTACATGTATTTTTGAAGTTAACAGCTGGATCTTAGTGGATCAGTCACTGTACCATCAGACATGCTATGAATCCTATCTTTTTGTCAGTTGCACACTACATTGAGCTACCACTTCCTTTATAACTCACCTCATGCGAGTGCTCACGAAAGTTGAAGTTCCTTCTCATTCCCTGCCTAGCCAGAGTCAGCTCGGGCTGGGGGTCGTTTGAAGACTCCGTGTCTGTCATCCTGGGGCTTTCGTCCTCTCCATCATTGAGCGAGGTGAATGTAACACCGACTGTGTTGGAGGTATTCCCGAGCGCTAGCCAGCCATACTGCCCGGTACCCTTCCAGGAGAGACACTGGACGGTGGCATCTATTTTCAGCGGAGAAGAGCGGTCGAATTCTGCATACATATTGCCTCCTCTTCGTCGTCTTCTTGGACTAGTATGACGGATGGCCCTATCTAAGTATTTAGACTTTAACAGAAGAGACGGTTGCTGTGTACTAATGGAGTGCAAGCGATGAAATTGAGAGCACCGGATGACTGAGTCTTTATATGAAAGGGAAGTCCAGTCATATTTGTGGTCAGGCTTAACTAGAAAGCCAAACCCACCATTGTCATGCAATGACATGCATATAAAATACAGCTAGGATGGTACAGCTGTATGGTATCGTATTACATAAACATAATACAGTCTGTTCCAGGCATATGTAGTGTCTTTATTCCCAGGCGTTGATCCCTCTTCTTATTTTACACGTCTGATCTAGTTTGCAAACAATCTTGACTTGCAAAATGGCTCAAAGGGACGATGACAACATTGATCAACACAGGAGAGCGTTAAAAAGTTATAAAAATAATTTCAAATAAAATATTAATCAATTTTTACGTCAAGACGTACATGTGCATGTATAATATCACATTGGCTTTGGTTTAATTATCATGCTTTGATGTTGGCAGGAGGCTAATGAGAGCTTCCCTTACACTCTGATGCAGAAAATGAAAGTGATCACTTTAAAATTCTCAGAAATCACTAATGCAATCAACTCAAGCAGATACACACACAGCTATGGTTTCATTATATTCAAGATACAAACAATAAGAGTACAATTAGTAATGATGTAACTAATCCAACAATACCCCTCCTCATTTCACAATCAACATGAAGATGGAGATATTGCAAATGTATTTATTTCATGGCTTTAATTCAGAGAACAGAACATCACAATGAATGAGATCATTTGCAGTTTGGCTCCTTTACTGTCTGTCTAACCCCCTTTCCTGCATTCACATGGAATTTGGCTACATGCCCAGACTTTTAATTAGCAAGATGTTCAATGGTATGAATGATATCAGTATTATAAAATAAGTACATGTGCATCCACAATAGCACATCTTATTTGCATAATTGTAGTGGCAATTGCATTGCATTCATGTATTTAAAAATTAAAGTAACTTAATAAAAAGTAAATAATTATAGCAATAATAATAATTATAATGATAGTAGTATTAAATATCAAATAAAAAATATTCGGTTGGTCTTCTATGGTCACAACATTTATAATAACGACTTAGCTAAAGTACATGTACATGCATAGACTGAATAAAACAGAATAATTGTTCAATTAATCAGAGAATGGTGCAACATACAACATCATATTCCTCTTCTGGCTGCTGCTGCACATAATACTGTTGGTTGACTGCCAGCCCTACAAAAAAAATAAATATACAATGTATACATGTCTTATGCCATGCAGAAAGTATAACATAAGTAAGTTATGAAAATTGGCAATTTCTGTAATAACCATTACCATAGATATGCTTTTTCCAAAAATTGGCTCATAAAAGAATATTAATGTTATAAAATAAGCATTTAAACAAATTCTGAAGTTATGATGATTTGGCAAAAAGCATGGACTATAGTCCATGGTTTTTTTTTCCAAAAAATGGCTTCAAAATTACCTCTAATTTCTATTACATTTTCTGATACATATTGATGTCCTTAGGCTGTGTAGAAAGTTTGAGCTGATTCCGACTTCAATTTTTCGAGTTATAACTATTTTTTAAGATTGGCCATTTTTTGAAAAATACCCAAGGCTATACTATAGCCCATGGTTTTTTCCAAAAAATGGCTCCAAAATCACTTCCAATTTTTATTACATTTTCTGATACATATTGATGTCCTTATGCTGTGTAGAAAGTTTGAGCCAATTCCGACTTCAGTTTCTCGAGTTATAGCCATTTTTTTAAATTGGCCATTTTAAAAAATATCCAAGGCTATAGCCCATGGTTTTTTCCAAAAAATGGCTCCGAAATCACTTCCAATTTTTATTACATTTTCTGATACATATTGATGTCCTTATGCTGTGTAGAAAGTTTGAGCTGATTCTGACAAATATTTTTCAAGTTATAAGTATTTTTAAAAACAAGTGGACTATAGCCCATGGTTTTTTCCCTATGATGCATATACATGTACTGTACTTGAAAATAGCTTTTAAATTCACAGGCTCAACAGTCTACATGCAAAACAATTTTTAAAAGATTTTAAAAAGTAGTATCCAGTTAAATTCACTGACCTGGCTGTCCGGGTTGAGGAGCTTGTCCTGGAACAGTCCCAGGGGGTGGAGCCATACCAGGAGGAGGGGCCTGTCCAGGATACGGAGCACCAGGAGGTGGGGCTTGTCCAGGAGGAGGGGCCATGCCAGGAGGAGGGGGACCAGGATAAGGAGGAGGTTCACCGGAGGGGTACCCTGGAGCAGCAGGGTATGGTACTTGTCCAGGGAGAGGTGGAGGGTAACCTGATTCAAATCCGAGAGGTGGTCCCTGAGGAGGTGCACCAGTAGGAGGAGGCTGGGGAGGATAAGGTTGTTGAGGAGGATACTGGCCTGCAGGATAAGGCTGAGCAGGGACCTGCTGCTCTACTACTACAGCATTGGGTCCAGCAGTACCAGCTGTAAATAAATTAAAGGATTAAAGAGAGAGTGGTAGGATAAGTATATTTAATGGGATGAGCTCTTACCAACAGTAGCAGCGGCAGCAGTAGTAGTGACGACTCTTCTCCTCCTACTAAACAGACCCCAACCAAAGACTAAACGCGGTCCATGATGAAACCCTATCATAGATACAAATACAATATACATGTAAAGCAAGCAAGGTTTCACAAAAGTTTCGTCAAGAGTAAATAATACATGTTATACCTACAGAGAGTATCCAACGGGCCCATCTCAGCTGCTGCAAGTGTTTGGATTATTTAGAAGTTCCAAACACTTGCAGTTTGGAACTTCTGGAAACAGTTCAGTATACTTCTGTATATTATCAATGATAATGTTGTTAACAATAACAACACATCTGCATAAACATTGTTGAAAACTACTCAAGTATGTGGAATGTGACTTCTTAATAACCCAAACAATGCAGCAGGCTTAAATACGGCCATTGAATACTCTCTTTAGGTATTATTTAATCTTGGTTTCGTGTATCTGGAAATTTATGCTATAGAAAACTTATGCTTTAGAAAAATTTGTGTGATTTAATAAGGCTGTGTTGAATATGGCATGTAATTATATGCAAGTTGTGTGATCTAATTTTAAAACAAATTTCTAATCTAGCAAAATTAAAGTCATTCCAGATTAACGGTATTATCAAGCATCAAAAATAATTGCTTTTTTGGCCAAGAGATCAAGCTTAAAATGCAATAAAACAAGTACATGCACATTGCATGCAAATTTTACAAACTAGTAACTGAATTGATAAAAAACATTTAAGAGGGGAATCAATCTGCTCCCAGAAGTAAAAAATTAACTCTAACTCCCAGCCCCTTCATCCTATGGGAGGGCACTCTAACTAAGATCGACAAAAGGAAGTACATTATAGTTGATTTACTATGGCGGTGGTGTATTCCGTGATGATGGTGATGACGGATACCATGATGATGGTGATGACGGATACCATGATGATGGTGGTGACGGATACCATGATGATGGTGATGATGGTGTCTTCTTCTACCACCAGCCCTTCCACGACGAGGCATGATAAGAGAGACTCACAGCAGAGGAGGAATGGATTATAATAGAATTAGATGACAGTGCACAGGTAAATAAAGGCGTGGCAAAACTGTCACCAGTCACCACGCCTAAGACTAATTATCATGAATCCCACTTCATGCACTTTACGTAAATTTAGTTACAGGACGAGAGTTTTGCTGCCTAAAAAATAATCTTTAATAAAAAGGTAATGATTATGCTTCGTATAGCTACCTTATCTATCCAAAACTGGAGCTTGCTTGATAGAGAAAGGAGGATTTCACACTTTCCGTCTCCATGGCGAGCTCCATGGTCACACGTTAATTAAATTGTTAATGAGCCACGCCTAAGTGGACACTCCTACCCACGTGTAAATCCACAATGGATGTTGTGTGAGTTCATATTTCTCCATTTCTTTTATCATTACTGTATACAGTAAACCAAAGAATCAGAGGTCTAAGAGAGCTCTTGAGAAGAGAGCACCAAAGTTAATAGAGAACCCAAAGACGGCCATGTTTGTAAGAGGAGGCCACATCAGTCAAATTGTCACTGATGTCATGACAGATCTAGTAATTTATGACGTATTTCTTAGTATATTTCATCTATTTTTATAGTGTAAATTAAAACGACCCAATGCTGTCTTGTATAGAAAGTACGCACACACATACAGTGTTCATTTATAATTGTACAATTATAGGAAGAATGCAACGAGACCTTTTGAAGACCCCACTACAATAGTAAGATAGTGATAATTAATGCATGTACATATTATAATGCATTATGTGTTAAATATATTATTGCAATTTCAATATTAGTGATGATTCACCAGCTGTTTTTGTTAGGAGTTCTTCAGTCAGAAGAGTGATGCATCTCTCTTTATGTACGGCTCACATAATAAAAAACGCCCACACAACATAGTGTTCGGTCAGTGCATCTCAGTATATTCCAGTATATTATTAGTACTTATTGATTCCAGGGCGTATGTTTGACCATCATCTTCTTGATATGATAGAATTAGGTGTGGAGCAGTATAAGCCAATGAGCTCCTTCACAGTAAGAGTTTCTGTGGTCTAATAATGAGCTGATTATATTCTTAATGGCCAGTTGTTGGCTGTCATTGGTTGGGTTTGTGTTTATTTTATAATGTTGTTTTAATTCGAGGGATTTTCGTTGCTCCTCTCATATCTTGTGGATCTTTCATTTTTGCTACCATTTCACAAACATTTATTGTTGACTTGTGATAATAATCCCTTTTATGATTTTCCATTTCAATTTGTGCAGTCAATCAAGTCTTCGGTCGGCATAAAACCGTGTTTGATATTCTCGGGAGATTCTTTTGAGACCGAGCCAAATTATGCAAAATTGAAGAACCTATTAATAGGTCTGTGTGTGCCTAATATTATCTTGTGTCTAAATTATAAATTTATGATCATTAATTATAGATTTCTTTCATGGCTCTGATGTGGAGAGGGTTGATCTATCATCACTAGAAACAGTCATTACTTTCACTGTCTCTGATGGGAAGATATTCATGAGAGTCTACCAGTGAGTGGGCCACTTACCTTATTCCTCCCTACCTTGTTTCCCTTCCCTCCATTAGTATAGCTCTTAAGAAGTCAGGTACAAGAACCCCCAGGGTTGAGCTAGAAGAAATGGGTCCCTCACTGGACTTGGTCCTCAGGCGAACACACATTGCATCCTCAGAATTATTCAAACTAGCTACTCGTAGGCCCAAGGCACTAAAGGTTAGTAGGAAAATACTACTGTCTACAAGTACATTTAAAAACGCGACTATCATTCACATTCAACAGCTTTTCTAAATCACTTGTACTTCATTTCTCTAGCCCAAAAAGGAGAAGAATATTTCCAAGGATCCGTTTGGTTCTAAGCTAGCTAGGATACACATGACAAGACAAGACATGAAACAACTCAAGACCAGACGAGTGAAAGGACTCAAGAGAAAAAGAGACACAGCCCAAGAAGAAGGAGAAGGAACTGAGAGCAGTCCTAAAAGACAGAACTAATCTCCCTTTCTTGTCATTAATGTTGTAATTGTTTTCTTTAATTTGTTATTGTGTAGTGCAACTGGAATGGGAACTAAAAATATCAAAAAATTATTAGTATAGTGCATTTTTGTGATGGACGATTTAAACAGAATGGGACTAGTGGATCAACATGTATAATGGCTGCGTTAACTGATCAGTGTATCAGTATATGGTAGAATGAAGGTTCCATCAACTACATATTCTCTTAGTTCTGTTCTCTTCCTCTCCAGTGGTAGTGCTACTGGTTCCACTGGGAGTGGTGGTACCCGTCCTTTTACGAGAGCTACGTCTTACAATAGTGGGCGTGGTCTCCTCAGTCGTGTTTTGAGGACGTGAATAAGCAACATAATGGATTCCATCAGGAGAAGGGTGGTCCTCTGTCACCACGGTAACAGTTTCGCTAGCAGCAAGTGGAACAAACTGATCATCTTGATTGCTCAGAGTACTGGGAGTGACTTCACTATCAATGATTTCAAGATTCTCAGCAAAGGATTCTAAAATAAAAAATCAATGAAAAATAGATTAATTATATTAATTTTATTTGTTGCTTACCAAAAGAGTGACACAAGAGGCAAGGAGACGAAGGAGGAGTTGCCGATAGAAAGTTCTCGCAACATTTAAACAAATTACCATAATAATACACATCACTCCAATAACTTGAGAGTTTAGTGGGCGAGATAAAATGTCTTGTGGCCACGCCCCCAGTGACGGGAGACACAGCATGTACCTGTACACCACTGGCCTCGTCTGGAAGAAGCTTAATGGCATCCAACGGGTCCTTACATAACTTCAATAATAACTGAACCAGCTCCTGTATAGTATCACCGATGTACCCTGGACCAATGGACAACGGTAGACAACGGAGGACCATGGTATCGTCAAAGAGTGGACTAGGGTTACAGCAAGCATTGAAGTAGACTTTAGTGGTATAGCCTAATACTGTATAAAGGGTAAAGGATGATTGGAGGTGAGTGAGGGATATTGTGTGTATATTACCTGCAAGTACTTCTTTACCAATTGGATCAGCAGTATCTGATAATATCACTTTACTCTCTTCCTCATTGCGCTGAAAAGGTCTAGGAGAAGGGACTCGGCCGAATGGATGTCCAAGCACATCTAGAGAGAGTAAAAGATGTTGTTTATAATTGTAAA